GTTACCGGTCTCGAAAAAAAGTCGTCTGTTCCAGTTTCTAGACCTCCCACAGGTAGCCAGAGGTATACATTCAACAATTTTTTTAGGATTGACTAAGTTCTAGATAAATTCATTCTATGGAATACGCCTAACAAAACTTCTTTGGCCTTCTTTGGNAAATTTTGTTTTTCCTATTGCGGCGAGGAAAAAACTAAGTCAAAGTAGTCTTCAGGAAGAAAAATCGTAATCATCTTTGGTCGACCTATATCTATCGCTACTGCGAAGTTGTCGTGGCAGAATTCAAAGTACGAATCAGTGTTTCTCTCCAACTGTACTTGTTTATCCGTTAACATTTATATCGTTGAATACATATCAGCCTTTTTTGGAACGAATCGTGAAGGATATTTTGGGAACTTTGGTACAGTGGTAACGATCGGGATCAAACAATCGATACGAGTCAAACTGTTGTGTGTTTTAATGTGGATTAACTGCACGCTTGAGCTTGATTGAGGTGCAGTCGAGTTGGTTTGGTTTGGTTTCACAACTCTAATTCTTTTGAGTCGCAGAATTTTCAAACTTTACGCCAGAAGAGGAGGAACATATGATAAGAATTTGTGGTGAAATCAGTATTTGGCAGATGATAGTCACTGACAACCCCGATTTGAACTTCAACCGTTGAAACGTGCTGCCCATCCGTGCCTCTTTTAGCAGAGAGCAGGAGAGCAAAACCGCTGGTCCAGGTGAACTCTGTCAGTGAACTCTACCAGTTCAGCTAGGGCGGCATGTATCCTGCTATGCAGTCAACAATACGTTTGGTAGAGCATCAGAGCATTATCCCGAGTTGTCTATTGAAACCACAGTTTTCTGAGCTTCTATTCATTTTTTTCGAACGCTCGAACGTTACTGAATGGGTTAACGAGCCTTCGTGGAAAGCACCTTCTATTTGGGAGCATTTCCCATGCACCGCGGCCTCGGTTAACCTTAATTTTTTCCTAGCCTCCTAGAATCGAGTTGTGAGACTATGTATTTAATAAGCTCAGTAAGCACCGCCCAGCATGAAGAGATTTTCCCTATTCCGAGTGGTTATTCTCCGTTTCCTCTGATACTCCTATCCTCAGCTTTATACATCTTTCACAACTACATATTGTCTGGGCTGCCCCGAAATCACTGAGACTCTCCTTTAGGATCGCCCATTTCTAAGATGCCTAGGTGTAGTACTCATGAGTATCCTTTGTTAGTTTCAATTGCAATCGGATCTATTTACAGGATATCTCAGTATCGAACTCTGCTTTCATTCTCTTTGTTTTTCTGTGATCCATTTTTTGATGCAATGTGTCACTTGTGGTGGACTTCCAAGCGTTCACTCACAGTACTTGTAAATTATTTGCAGAGCTAGAATTTCTTTATAAACTGTGTATGAACTACTCAGTGCTCTGAGACGTGAGAAGTAACTGTGTTCTCATCACAGACTGAATCCTTATTGTGTCGAACGTGTTCGGTGAGCTCCCTTGCCACTCATCGCAGAACCTTGCTTGCTTGCATGGACAGCCATGCGACCAAGCAGGACTCCATGTACACACTAAGGATGCAGTGCGTTGGATCAACTAAGGACTGTCCTCCCTGGATGTCGAAAACACAAGTAATCTTTGTCTCTTACCTGGCAGAGCCCTGAGATGCCTTTCCAATGTAATTACTTCATTGCTTCAGCGGCTTCAACCAGTATATCGAATTTGACTTTGCCCCTATTATCATAACATGAATACTTGACGTTCGAGAGTGGGCTGAAAACGATTTTTTAGTGTATTTTCATGATACACTGCAGGGCGGAATAGTTACCTTTCTGACATTATCCCAGGGGCGGTAAGCAGTCACCGGTTTGATCCTCACTCAGTTTAATTTTGTCGGAGCGGAATTGTGTCTGCTTTATAGACGGGTAGTCTTGAGTTCGATGTCAGTTGATGTTGTTAGATAACCTCTTCAAGTTCCACTTTTTTCCTCATTCTTCTGCTCACGAACATTGAACGACAACATGGACTACCCCACGGCCAGTTTCTCTTAGTTTACGCGGTTGCTTTTTTCGTGTAGTTGGGAAAACGTGACATTGGTACAAAGCCCAGATTCCACCGACACTNGGAATAGTTACCTTTCTGACATTATCCCAGGGGCGGTAAGCAGTCACCGGTTCGATCCTCACTCAGTTTAATTTTGTCGGAGCGGAATTGTGTCTGCTTTATAGACGGGTAGTTTTGAGTTCGATGTCAGTTGATGTTGTAAGATAACCTCTTCAAGTTCCACTTTTTTCCTCATTCTTCTGCTCACGAACATTAAACAACAACATGGACTACCCCACGGCCAGTTTCTCTTAATTTACGCGGTTGCTTTTTTCGTGTAGTTGGGAAAACGTGACATTGGTACAAAGCCCAGATTCCACCGACACTTCCTGGAAGGCACTGTGATGCAGTCATTATGTAGATTTGGGAACAACTACACTGTGAAAAGAGTACTGGTAGCTACACTAAAGTGAGGGAGTAGATGAGCATTTTTACTGAAGATGTCCATTTGATTAGATCAATGAATTCATTATGGTCAACGAAATATCAAAAAATCGTCGCCAACGATTGATGCAGGAGTGATGGAAAAAGCTCGGGAGGAGGCGTACAGAAGTTCATGTGTTTTACTGAACGATTTATGTCAAACAGCTCTTCCATTCCCACTTTGCTCGGCACCGTTTTAATGACGATTTTTGATCATTTCTTGGATTGCACATGATCGAGCAAGCAGCTCACCTTTCGAAAAGCGGCGTTCAAATCTCCTACCATCGCTGGTCGCAATCAAATAATCAGCCTGTGCGTGCTCTCCGTCCAGCTGTGCGTGGATGGCGGAATTCCGGTCCTTGAAGAAGCCGGTCAACAATGCTGGAGGCGAGAGTTTGCAGGTAGAGGAAGAGCGACAGGAGGCGAAGGTCTATAAGAGCCAACGTGACAAGCCGGTTCGTCTTCCACGGATCTTTTCAGCTCGATCAGAGCCATGGAACGTCGCCAATAAGCTGTTTCACCATTGATAGAGCCTGACTTCACTCTCTTCCATTGCTTGACTGTTCATCGCCCTTGTTCTCATCTTTGTTTACGATTTTTTTTGTAATTTCGTAAGTGTCTGAGTATCTCTGACGGCTCTGCGTGTGCAGAAAAGTCACTTCTCGGTAATATGTTCAGTCTCTTCTAATTCTTCATTTTTCAATGTTCTAGCCCACAAAGTTGCAGTGTACGGAGAACAAATTCTTAAATACTGACAGCTACTACATAGAATGAGCTAGAGGAATATAAGTAGGTATATGATAGCTAACGCATGCAGATATAGTCAAAGATGAGCAGATCATCGAGAGTATTGAAAGCTTCTTTTTCTTTTTCGCTTCGCATAGACCTCGACTCATGGTTTAAAATTCTCAAGTTCAAACATTTGCCTCAGAGCAACGACCTACAAATGCTTACGATCTTAAGCGGTAGCAAAGCTCCCTCATAATAATTCTGGAAGATTGGTCGTTTTCCTCATCCCTATCTCAACGATGAGAAAGTACGATAGCATCAGAAAGCGTCAAAGTAATAGTTGTAAAATAAACTGCACAATCACGACATAAACCGAACTATAACACATCAACCTATGTTATTCAGTAGCCCTACCAACCACCATCGTCTCGCTCACAGGGTTTTTTGTATGAAATACAAAAAAAATATGTTTAAATAACTAAAAAAATAAAAAATACCATGAAGGACTACAGGACAATATGAGGTGCGTCTACAACAGACACTCATAGTATTTTTGTAAACGATCTTCATCTTCGTTCTCATGGAGTGAGTAGGTTCTCGATACTGACTTCTGAGGCTGACTCGATCAGCTCAATTCCGGAACANAGCTCACGCGATATACTTGACCGCCTCGTCTGTAACCATGCAGATTACTGTCTCAATCAGTTCATACGCCGTTCTTGTAGGAATTTAGAATCGTTGTATTTCTCATGCCAAGACGAAAGCCTCCAGTTTACTTTATTGGAAACTATTGTTAAAGTTTTGAATCAGAAAATAACAGATGTTACGGTGTGTTAATTGGAACATGATAGAGTTTACCTCCGAGTTTTTCATGGCCGAGTGCAGAAATTGAGCATTCGCTTGCCAGTGCTCCACTAAACGCAAGCAGTACCTGTTTATAAGGGAAGCCCATTACACTCGGGGCACGTCAAAAATCACAAATAATGTCAAAGATCAAAATCAAATCGTCCAAATCAAAGACTGCATTCCGTTAATCGAAAATCTTTCGAGAATTCACCAAGATCAGATGAAATCGATTATCTCCTTGATCCCTCAGATTTTTGATTTCAGTTAAATAAACTGCGTGAAATATCAAAAACTGTTTGCATACTTGCCTAAGATTTTTTTGCAAAGGTGAGAAAAAAGTGGAAAACCAGTGAAAAAGCATAAGTCCGCTCTCTGGTTTTCTACGATTAGCACAAGAGCATACTACGGCACCTGGAGGTGTTTTATTTGTTCGCACTTCTGCTATTTTGTATGTGGCGTACTGGAAAGCTGTGTTACAGTTTACATTGGGGCCTTGCTGCAAGTCCACTACTGTAACTTCTTCTCGTGGGTAAATACAATACCAACGTCCACAGCTATCGTCTAAAGAACTGCGGAAATAGCATTCAGCAAACTGTCCCCCCAACTCTCAGCAAAGGGTAGTACTAACCCATTGATGAGTACAAAATAAGTCTTCCATATTATAGCTGGCAAGGTTTTTGACGCATCAATGGTTTTCATTACGGAGAACATATGTTTTAGCCCTCTCAAGTCTCCATTGCTCTGCAGTAGACGCAGATGCTCGCCCACAGACATCTATGGGAAGATAATATTACAAGACTCGCGGTCATTCCATACGCTTAAGGTTTTCCAGTCTGCGCTCCCGAAACATGATTGTCGAGAATAACAGAGCAATACAACTATCTTCTGTTGTAACTAAATCTGAATTTTTAAGATCAGCTGCTGCGCAGTATGTCTGCTGTGCATCCAGTAAGCGATGGTCTTCCACCGGCACCTCGCCCGATCGTGCACCGCTGGTTTCCAAGTTGGCGGCTTCTCACCTCCAGTCTCTTGTGCTTATGCTTTGCTAGGTAAATTTCAGTAATTACTTGAATTCTATCGAACGGTAACTCAGCTCTAACAATCTTCGCATCAACATCGAGCAACGAAGAAGAAGAGCTGGAAGAACTCTATATAAATCTTGGGAGGCTTCACAGAGAACACCATACTTTCATCGCGGTCATCGCTGGTGATTTCAACGCCAATATTTGCCCCGGAAGAATGAATGATGAGCTCTACATCGGTGCTAAGAGAATGTGATGGAATGAGCAGGGCGAAAAGCTGTACGAGTTTATCATGCCGATCCATATGTATTATCCATGGTAACTCGTAGTCCCGAAGCCCTCTCATTTGCGATGGGCATGGGAGTCACCCGGTGGACTGTTCCATAATAAAATAGACCATATCATCTTCAGTCGGAGGTTCTGCCTGTCCGAGGCCGCTGTTGTTCCAAGTTTCTACATTCCATCGTCTCCATCGCTTCTCAGTGCGAGGAGAGAGAGTAAACGATGTCCCAAGACCGTCATGGGTACGCTCTTCACACTCTTGGATCACTTTTAGCTTCTTTGCGAGTTTCTGGTGAGATTCTGTCAGCAGCAACATGCTTGAAGAGTAAGACCGGCTCGTCGAACATCTTCACGATAGTGCCAGTAAAGCAGAGAGTATAAAAGATGCCAAGAAATGCCCGGTGCTTTCGAGGTCAGAAAAAGCATCCGCAAAGCCCGCCGGAGCTCTGTCAGTTACACGACCAGGCTTACTTCCCTTTACAGAACATCTCCTGCATTTTAAAACTTCTGCTCAGACCCCAGCCACTTCTACCTGCCTACTCACCGTTTTAGGCGAGACGGATATGTCGTCTTTTCAGATTCCCTTGCGAAAACCGACATGCCATCGATTTGATGATAAAGTGAGCAGCGCTTGGCTCCGATAGGATCAAACCAAAACATCTGAAGAGCCTTCCACCAGATATCGTCAGAGCTCAGACTAGGCTCTTCACGCGGTACCTGCCGAACGCAAAGCGTCCACGTCGTAGAAAGCCAGCAAGACTGTGCTGCTATATGAGAAAGGATATTCCGACGACAATGGCAACTATTGCCCAGTCTACCTGCTGTCTGTAATTTATAAATTTCCCACATGAGTAAACCTTAATAGGATTGGCGGAGTACTGATGAGGGACAGCCATGCGAGAACGCGGGGTTTCGGAGAGGACCAGTACAATCGATCCCATAAACAGTGTTACAAGGTTCATCAAAGAAACGCAAAGGCACAAGATGCTGTTATATCTGACGTTTATCGAATTGAAGAATGCCTTCTTACTCAGCATAAAGGGATGCCTCGTGAGCTCCCTAACAACTTCACGACCCGGGCCTTGCCATTCTATAATAAGCTCATCATCAACTTGAAGAGCGAGGATCTTCAGGGCGACACCGTTCCACCCAAAGGTTTCGGACCCGCTCTCGAGAACACCGTGCGTCATTTGAAGTGCGAAGGTTGGAGTGAACATTGGTGGCTGCTAACTACATCACTTGCAGACAACATCGTGCGTATACCAGAGAACATCGGGCAGGGGAAACGTATGTTGGCCGAATCTAACAACGCTTTGGAAAGATCGGCTCTAGACTGAACTTGAACTAACAAATCACGATAATTATGAGATATCCCTTTTAGGTTGAAACGCAGAAGTGTTGGTGTAGAGGAGTACACCAGTGACGAAGAGCGGGAAAATTCAAGGCTTTTAAAAAGTAGTGGAATTGGAGTTCGCATGAGATCA